AGATCAAGATCTTCAGATGATGTGGTGCTGCAGGTTTTTCCGGGTTTTCCTGCAGCTGAAAAAGCAAATGCGCCACTGGAATCAATGAAGTCGCCCCGGAGCGCCAATTAATTTTTATTGTTGTTTTTATTTTATTTTTATCGTTGTTTTACTACAGTATGTTCCAACTAATAGTTACAGTAGGAAATTATATAGGCATGGTGGTGCCTAAAAAAATAGTACACATAACTCTTTATTTTATAAAGGAGTAGGTTGTTTCAATGACCACCCTCAAGAAATTGAAGATAGTGGTTCGATAAATATATTCAAAAGACGATTGAAGGATTTCTTGATGAAAATATAATATATTCCTATGTATGACTTTCTTATGAAACATTTTATTTATACATTTGTATTTTTATCCAGAATGTTTGTATTTTTTCATATTGATATTACATGTTCCTTTAATCGCAGTATAGTATTTTACTCAATTTGACCAATATCCTCTTTGTTGAAACACGCATCGAGAGACAGTGTTTTTGTTCTGATGTGGGAAAAATGTGCATATACACTAAAAACAATTTTGATTTTTTCAAATATATAATTCAATTAATGAATTATATTTGTTTATAAAGCAACGTTTAGATAAGAAAAAATTAAACAAAATGAAATTTTGCATTCAAATTATTTATTGAAAGAATCAGTACTACAACATTAGTACAGAAGTTACAGTTTCATCTAATGAGAATTCTTCAGTACTGCAGTAGACTTTTTGAATGAGACCTTTTTTCCTTATCCTCAGAAACCTTTCAGTAGAGATGTTTCTGGCAAACAGAGGGATCATATTCAGAAATACCAAACCATTATTATTTTCCTAATTTCTGATTTTTTTCAACTGTTTATATTGTTTCATGGAATCAATTAAGTGGAGACTCATCTGTAATACATGTTTTTGTGAGCATCAAGTAGAATCAGTTTGTTTTTTTGTATAACAATCATCTCGATGACATCAGAATAATCCGCATCTGAATGTGTTTTTGTTTTTGTAAACGTTCTCACTAACCTTTCGATTTTTTCACGAAACGAAAATGATCAACCGAGATTCCTTCCAGGTATATGGTCTCCAGGTCAAAAGATTGACCCGCCGCAGGAACTGCATTTTCAAGAGAGGGAAAGCCAAAAGTCTGGCCAAGATGACTCCATTCCTCCGGTTTGGGCACCCAAAAGCGCTAGTTCCAGTCCAACAGTCGAAAGGAAAGAGTTCAAATCGGTGAACTTCCAGTCTCCGGTGCTGGGAAGGAAAACTAGAACGAAATCTGAGGTAATTTCTCGAGATGACAGTAATAATAATGAATGAATTCACTGACAGGTATCATCAATGAAATATTACCATTCGTTCAATCTCCCTCTTGTACCTGCAAGAAAGAAAAAATACACACTCAAGCATATATAAACATACATATGAATCTCACGTCGAAAGGTAAGACCTCGTCAAACCTTAGCATGGCAATAGTTTCGATTTTTGAAGGTTGTCGTTGAATTTGTATCAAATATTTTATCTTTCATTCGTTCTATGCTCATTCTTCAAACGAGTTTTGATAATTCGTTTGATCCGGCCAATATATTTCTTATCACAATATTCACAGCTTTATCCATACAGTGTGTCCAAGATAAGGATCCTAAGCATGGGAATCTCAGTACCTGTTGGAGATACAGCTTAGGTTAAATTAGGAAAAAGTTGTGTTCTTTAAAGCTTATTTACATGCCGTTTAGAAACTTGAAGAATTTTCATGGCCTGCTGAGATATTTGGGAAAAACGAGAATTTGACAATATCAATTTTATTTTTTTCTGACTTTATTTGAAAAGATATCAAAAAACGAATAACACTTTTTCATTGGCACTTT